CTCTCTCCCCCTCTCTCTCCCCCGCTCTCCCTCCCTCCCTCTCTGTCTGTCTGCCTGTCTTGCGAATAGCTATGTACTCTAGAAATCTTGTAATGAAAAGATCGATGACGTTCTTAAAATAAATTTCTGCCGTTAACCTTTTTACTTCCGAATTATTTCAAATATAAAAATATTCATTTTTCACCTATTCAATGTATTTTATGTGACGAATAAGCGTTTCATAAAATGATTCGATATTTAGGCAATTTTAAAATGTACTAAATTTATAAGATATAATTATCTAAGGTTCGAGATTTAATTGAATTTCGATGGAAGCTTTGATTTGTGAGGTTCTCTTGAATTTATACGAATTCTAACGATTGAATCATGGCGGTGGTAAATGGAAGATGATAATACCTGATATTAACACATCGACTGCCACAGTGAAAAGGGGTGTACATAGCCAAACACACTTTATTTTGTTTTTAAAGTTATAAATCGTTGGAAATGTATGCGTTTTGTTAATAGAGGTTGTTGTTCCTGTTTCAAATTATACTGTAATATTAAATTACGCAAAAATTTTGTAACTCTGGGAAGGAAGCGGGGGGAGGTGGGCAAAATCCAATTTTTTTCTTGTAGGGTCGGGCAAAAGCCACTTTTTTCCGTCCAGGGGAGGGGGGCAAGTGCCACCACCTGCCCCCCCCGGCTACGTCCATGAATAGTAGTATTATTGTTTCTCGATGTTGACTTGTTCTCAGTTTGTATATAGATGCGATTAAACTTATGAACCATGGTATAGACGGCTATAGTGACTTGTATTAATAATTCTGCGTACGAGAAGTAACTTGCAAACGTGAAATTATGTGTCTCTATGTTGAGTTCCGTTTCCGATTAATGTGAGCAAAAAATCTTGTTAAGACGCCCACACTTGAGCATCATGTAGCTCACTTGTCTGTCCAGTGCTTAATATAATTTACATATGTTATGACAATTAATTCATAAGACCATTGGTTTAAAACTAGTACGGTATCAAAACCAATATGTGTTACAAGTAGAAATACTGAATAATAATCGGACACAGTAGCAGCCGTACTTTAAAGTACGAATACTCATTGAGTTTCAAACTTGTTTTTTTACTCAAGTTGATTCCAAATGAACTTTTAAGTTGTATCACCAGTTACAGGACATTCTCTATAGTTAAAAACTTTTTCATTCTTTACGAAGCTGCAATTTTGTTATTTTTTACTTATTTATAGTTCGTACACTAAAGTATAGATAATTTTGTAAGAAATACTGTGTCCAAATTTGAAATTAATTGGATGAACAGTTCCGAAAACCTGCTGGATGTCATTTGACAAGGTCCTGCCAGACACGACGGTAGACAAAGTTTGTATAACTCCACCACTTTGTAATTTTAAATAATAACTATTGTATAAAAATCAACTGAAAATGTTGCCTAAAATCCCTTAAAAGGTTCCGAATACTTCACTCAAAAATTACCTCAGAAAAGAAATTTTAAATTAACCATTTTCGTTAGATTTACAAGGTACTGTACCCCATTAATGGTCCCGAAGATCAATCGAACGATCTAAAATACTTTCGTTTTTTCCTCTTTTAGCGAGGATATTCCGTAGAGAGGAAATTTCGCAATGCTGGCTAGCCAATAAGGGTCAATTTAGCCTACAAACGATATTAATTCCCAGCGGGGCATCGTCGGCATATTTTTTCGCGGTGCTGGAACCGGCGCGGCGTCATTAAAAAGCTTTCTAATTAAGTAGCGCGAAGAATGTACTGGCGACACGCTCGGCCCGCAAAATGGTCCTATCGCCGCGAGGGGAGAGGGTGAGAAACGGACGAACGACGAGTTAATTATGAGGAAGGGTTGGAAGTTTCACGACGAACGGACGAGGTTTTCGTGAATCATCCCTACAAAAGAGCCCGCCAATCGGAAAAAGATAACCGTCCGCATAAGAGATTTTCGCCGAGATGGGAATAGGATCGCAATTATGGATGGAATTGAATGAGAAAAAAAGGTGAGAAGATAAAAGGGATTTCGGCGTGATTCAATAAAGCTCGGGGATCGATCATAGCGAATTAATTTCCATTTCTTAACCATTCCGAAAAAAAGTGCGGACGGGCAACGGTTTAATTGTTTCTCCATTGCATCGATCGCATTAGACGATTGATTTGTCTTTTCCTGATTGGTTTTATGTTCCACAATTCTTTGCTCTTTTATTGGTTCTCGATTCACACAGCACAGGCTAGGCTATATAGTAACAGCGATGAACAATTCAGTTATACGGAAACGAGATACGAACGTTCGATTTGCGGAACGGAAATGATTTACGGATAGCTCGTGACACGTTCGCAGTATACCGAAAGAATCACTGCACTTGTCACGATTGTACAAACTCAACCCCTCCAGCAGAAATGACCAGTCTCTCCTCTATCAATTTTTTCCTGGCCAAAACTCAATGCTGACGTGCTATGTCCGTCAGAAAATTTACGGTTGGCGCTAGACATTTTCGACACCTCGACCGAATCTCCTAGCAGATATTTGAAAAGAGATACTTGAAAAGGGTAGTCTCTAGGGTCCACTCTAAAGCAGGCCATACACGGTAAGGTTTACCTCGAGGCTTGGTCTCGCGAGGTTAAAAACGGACGCACGCCCAAGAAGCGAACATGCGCTAATGTGGACGGCGAAGTGAGCACGAATCGAGCGTTCGGCGAGCATCTGGAGCCGTTTCGTTCGTTGGCGGTACGTCAAAGTGAGCACGCCATCGAATGCAAGGATTCTATAAGTGCGTGATAATTTCTATTAAGTGCGGAAATCGCAAGAAAGTTAATCTTTTATTTAGTGAACACAAAATCTGACCGCAATTTTGAACATTTGGGAAACGTTTATTATACGCCTTTTAATTTAAGACATTACCATAATATTTTTAAAAACACTTTAAACGTTCCTAAGAAGTACAAATAACAATGTTACTTTTACACATTCGGAAAATGTTCTGAGAATGTTGACACAGGACGTCCTGAGGACGTTCCACTTGGTAAACTGGACCTTCCTAGGACATTTAAAGATCAGAACGAGGACGTAGGGGGGACATGTGGACCTTTTCGGGACCTCTTCCGAATGTATCGAACGTCCGGAACGTACGTTCTCCGGACATGCATATGACGTTTTTGTGCTATTTGGGGAGTCGTTTCCGGACCTACATATGTATGTTTAAATGACCTTTTTTCCATCCTTAGGGACAACAGAATACGATAAGCCAATGTTTGGTCACCTATTTCGGTTTCACCTGAGAATATCTGCTTTTTTGGGACGAAAAGGTAACAATAAGAAACAATCACAGTATGTACTTCATAACTAATTGAAAACTTTCATCATTTCGTTCAATGGCTGGTTGCCACGGCAACATCGACGTCGTTCAATAAAAAAATCGACTGTTTCTCCGTCGCCTGTAACTACCTCCTCACGAACTGTCATCCAAGTTCTATTACCGGGACAATTAATTAAATAGACTTACCCTTAAGCTCCATGTTCGTGACCTGATCCGCTTTGTAGGTGGCCGTCTCCTTGCGATTGCCAACGATGAAGTAAATATTCGTGTATTCCTCGTCGTCGTTCTCACCGGTTCCGTTCCTCGCCTCGAGGTCCATGGCCAGGCGAATAATTTCGGCCTTGAAGCTGCTTCCGCTCCTCTCTGCTCGACCTTGCGACAGCCTGCGAGGCGACCCGGCCTTGCTACTACTCGGGGCTGCGAAAAAAATTCACGAAGATAACGTTCACGTTACGTCACTGACCCTGTTCGCGCGCGCTATTACAAAAGAGGGAAGGATGAAAGAGAAATGTTCGAAGTCACGCGGACAACAACTCGGGATTCATAGATCAGACCGCACGAGGCAAACTTGCTACTATCTATCTTCTCGTTGTTTAAGTTTTCGGTTTTCACGAGGTCTATATAAACAGAGATCGATGACACTTACAAACTCGATTTGTCTCCCTTCCGGTCTATGATAACGGTGGCCGTAACAACTGGTTACTGAGAATATTAGTTGTTTTTTTAATGACAGTTTTAATGAAAAGCAATGTGTAGGCTACCTTGAAAATTTTATACGGATTTTACTCAACGCACACTGTAACTAGTATATGGAGAAAAAATAAAAAATCAATGTTTCGTTAAACTAGTTTTATGTATAGGTCATCGATATGTTAATTATATTTACACGTCACAAATTTAATACATATATGCCATTAAGTAGAAAATATTATTTCATATGAGATTTTTTTTACAATAGTTTCTATTGACAACAAATCCTAAATTATCATTACTGTCTTAATTGGTTACAATTGAATGTGAAAGAAATTCAAGATCTGCATCTTTTAAAACTAATTGTAAGCTCCTTGCTTATCAAATTTAAAAAGAAAGTCTCTCGACAGAGCATTTAGGAGTAGATCAAATATACATGTATCTTATCGAAGAAGATAAAGAGAACTACATACTTTTAGTAAAAAAAATCAAAGGACCGATACTTTTTGTTTTTTCTTTTCTTTTGTCCTTTGTAGAATGTGGATGATGCGACAAAAAACTAATAAAATTTGAATCACTAAATATTACCCATATCTTCACATACGAGCCTTTTTAATAGTTAGTATCAAAATAGGACTTTTGTCACTTTGATAACAAAAATGAGATAATGACTCCGGCATGTTTTTATTCGACTTTGAAATCGATTACTAACCTTGATCCGTTCCTTATATTTTTAGATTACAATGTTCTTAGATTTGAGGAATGTTTACTTTAAATCCCATGTAAACTGTAAACGAAATAGAAAATCTCGAAATTCAGCTTTTCGATATTTTAACACGACTTCTGACATTGTACTGCGGTCGTTACTTCTACGCTTCGTATTCAAATGTATTATAACTTTTCATTGCATTTATACATTATATAAAGGGTGACAAAAAGATAATTGACTTAAGACTTTCTTTAACTGTTTGAAATACGCAAAACAAATTGTATGAGGTCGTTGCATATGAAGTGTTCGTTTAACAGTGATATGCACTTCATAGTTTGTTCGATTTCAAGGAACTTTATTAGTTAAACAATTCTCAGAAGTAAAATTTTACACTTTTCACTCTTTGTTCAACCGTTTAATTGTTAAAAATAATTTGTACCGGAACCGCGTGAGAACTTTCCGTTGGAGCCGGTTAAGTCTGCGATATGTACGCGTGCAATACCGTTATCAACGATATTTCCGTTGGATCTGTCAGCCAGAATCGGCCTAGTATAACTACTTTTCGTACTTCATGTTTCTGACTTTACTTCATTGCCCTTCTGTAGATTTTTCTTTGTAAAACGTCACTAATTTTTTTGTTTATGTGAGAACAACGTCATCAGGGAAGAAAGTATTCATGTCCAGTGTAGTCCAATATTCGAATGTGTTGGAATTGAATGTTACGTCGAATGTAACTCGAAACTCGACTGCAAACGGCTGAAACCATAGGAGCCCCAATTGTCTACTATTTCGTTTGTAATATCATCAGTTTCGACAACAGACTACAGACTTTATGCAGTTATATGTAGATGCAGTATTTAATAAAACACGATAATATACCGACCACAACGATATTCAATATGAATTTGTTGGCTAATTTAATTAAAATCTTGCTGAAAAATTTGAATTTCTTTAAGCATCCATCATCAGCTATGGACTACAGTACGGTTACCGAGTATTCATAAGTTAATAAAAACAAAATAGGAAGTTTGATTACAATCTTTCCGTTTATAAAATGGTAAAAATAACCATTACAACAGAGGTAAGTACCTATCATACGAAAAAAAAACAAATATTAATCAATGCGTTTGGATGTCAATGCGGATATAATCGTAAATAATAATTAGCGAATAGAAACAGTTTGATACATTTTGCCCTGTAACAAACGCGAGCAATATGAAACTGGTACCAATAGAAATATATTAACACGAGAAGAAGACAGGTTCTATAGGTACATAAAAAGAGAAATGAAAAATTATTGGATTACACAGTCATACACCAATGACGAGTTGACTCGCTTTTTTCAATTCACAGGTTAGCACAAATAAACGCTTTTCAACAGTGTATCATACAACGTATTGGGTTGGCCGAAAAAGTGTAATTTCTCATGTCCTGTAACGAGGATCATTGTCGATTACACAGATCGTTGCGCCTCTCCTGTGACCGGATAGAGTGTGGTGTATCGTGGAGTGAAAAAGAAAACGAATTGTCGCAAACCACTTTTGGCACACGCCTTCATTGATGGCATTCTCCCTTATTATTAATTCCACACATTACATTATCTTTTACACGTTTGCGCTGCATTTTGTCCTTTTTTGGAATTAAAACGGCATAATATGCCGAAAAATACTCCTTTTTGCAAGTCCATCTTTAATGTTATGCCAAAATCGTAAAACAAACTCAATCTTCAAGTTTTATTTTAGTTGAAATATACAGTTAAATGCTAACTATTAAAAAACCACCTGCTTTAAAGATTGGAAGTAAAATTGGTTACGCATCCGAGCGCCTGAAGACAATTATCGTGAAAAATCACACGCACTTTTGGCCAACCCGGTGAGTGTACATTCTATACAAACGGTTTCCGGATTGAGGCAACGGAACAAATCACTCGAATTATGTGGTTCCTGTAATGGCGAATTTCGACCAGAAACCGTTGAATTGAATTGTTACGCAGAACAATAGCTGGCAGAGAAAGTTTCTAGCGGCAATGCGCATAATTTTAGTTATATACTAGCCTCTGGTCGGGTGTGGAAGGATAGCAGTATCCTCGGCGAGCTCATCGTCGCATCGCCGCCCCGGCGGCAGCAACCGGGTCACCCCCGATTATTGCACCTGTCGACCTCGTACCTGCCGTGCGCAACACCTGCAGGGTGAATGATCGAACGTTGCAGAATCCCGTCGACGATCGTCGTGACACCAACCGAGAGGACGACCACTCATCTACTACCAACTCCCGACGCGCTCCTTCATGGTCCATTCTGGAATTCAAACAAGCGTATTCTAAATATTCTTCGTGCCATTTCTATTAGTTTAGCGTAGAACTTGAGGTAGAATACAAGAAACCGAAATTAATTGTTGTACTGGGTCATAAATAAATTCCAGCAATCAGATAGAACATTACTAAATAATAATTGTACACCGACAATAACAGAGATATTTCAATTGAATAACAATTATTAAATGTAACAGAGATTGACGAAAATTCGGTCTACTAAAAATTTACAAAGACAGAAAGTAGGTGAATGTTAGGGGTTTTAATAGGTTGCAGACAAAATAAGGCCTGCCTTACATACATATGTATGTATTATATTTGTATATATTTATAGAATAATTGCATGCTATAATGCAATACCACACTTATCTAAAATCTATTCCTGTATGTCGTAAACCTTATAAGTAACAAGTAACACATCAAATTCGAGTTTCACTGTACATTTCTATTCAGAATTCAACATTCTTTCGAATTTTCACATAAAGAACATAACATTTTATTTGAAGCAAACGAGTGGTTATTCAAATCTACCAAAACCTCCACTTACGGAGAAAGTATTCTATATCCACGGTTTGTCCCAAAAGGTTCTGTATTGACGTCAGAACAGTAATTTTTCGTATGTGATTCACACTTCCTATAAGCAATTATTGAAAGTAGTTTCTTTCTGAAGCGACATATTGTTCATGACAATTATAAAACACTGAAATTAACTCTTAATTATTGTTCAAGATCACGGAGAACGTATTCATCGAAGTCCTGTAAATGTCGAAATGATCCTTCAATTGTCGTTTCTTTGTCTTCGTTTCATACTTGGGTAACAGAAATTAGTTTGATGTAGCTGAATTAAACAAATCCGGTGAAAAATCAAACTGCGAGATACCTTTGGAGACTAAAATGTTGAGGAAGTATCATCATTGCTATTTCCAGAATCTCTATAGTTATTGTAAACGGTATAAACATTAGAAGAAAACTGTTTCTAATATTTGATGACAACTTCATCTATATTGTTCACAACTTTCCCATCACATTTGCCATAAATGAGTGCACTATCATGGTACCTTGGGACCTATAGAATGATGCCTTACTAAAATTTTAGGTGCCTAAAGGGGTATAAATATCGGCCTTTTTGATCATCCTCCTTCTCCGGATAGTCTAATATAATATAGTAATTAGTTGATAGAATACGATAAATGTAGAGATCTATGATCAATTTTCGTCGAATGATTTCTCTACGCGATATAGTGACGATTAGGTATATTACTACAGTATAATCAATCTCGTTGCTTCCATCTACATCTATTCATCTCGAATCTGCAACAACATTTACCATTTTCTCTTTTTCAATTCCTGAAATGATGAAAGAACGACGTTTAATGATGTGCCTCCGGATTGCGTCAAAGGGCTCTTTAATCCTCGTATTTCCTTTGTAGAACATTAGCAATTTAATTTTCGGACAGGTCGGGAAATAACTGAGTCTCGGTTAGTACGGACGGAACAAGTAATCATGTGGATTGCTGATTATGAATTGTAGGCCTCGCAATACTAGATGATAATTTCGTACGGCAAATGTCGGGGTTCGTGGCTCCTTGGACTTGAAAGTTCGTGTAAGTATATATCCAACCGTGTTGCTGGCTGGCTGACAGCGGCCTGATCGCCGGAAGGAGGGAAAAAATAGAATGTCTCCCAGTTTTGA